TTTAAATGCTGTAATTTATTTATTTATTCAGCAAATGCATCTCATTCTGATCTACTTCTAGTCTTTTAACGATATACTCATTTTTATATAAAACTGTAACAAGTTTATAAGATGACTTGCCTATCCCACCACCAACCTGCCCAAACCTGACTACATACATATTCTACCACCGCTCAGCACAATGTTCAGTGAAAACACACACAGAATTAACGTTCCCTGTGCTGCTGCGCTAATTAAAGATTCAGCTCAGATGAGAGAGGAAGCACAGGGTCCAGCGCAGCTTCCTGTGCGCCTATAAATAGCTGTCTGATATGATTTAGGCAGAGGTCAGTACCAGGCAGCTGCACAAGCTCTGGCCTCCATTTGCCTCATGCTGGAGGGAATGGGACTGATGGCAAAATGTGTCCCACTTACAGCAAGAGCTTTTGAAACACATATAGTGTACTCCTGATAAATTGACTGAAGCTAATGAGAATTTGCTGTTGGAGGGGAAGGACCACTGGAACCTGCCGGGAGAGGGGTCCCATCAGGGTCACCCCCACAGGCTGGCAGCAGGTGAACCTCTTTATTTGCCTGCTGGTCTCTCTGACTTTGCTGAATGACATATGAAATCCAAGAATGTTTCCAAAACACTCTAAAAGAAAAGAACAGACATAAAGATGCTATTTGTTTGCTTCAGTGCAACAGAGGGGCTGTAAGGAACATTTTTGCCCCCACTCTGGGTGGGTTGGGTGAGGGTCCCCAGCACCGGTGGCACTCCTAGTCCCCCGCTGCAAACTCAAGCACGCTGTGACATCTAGTGGCAAGTTACCCGGAGAGCCCAGAGAAAGCTGTGTTTGACAGGTCTTTCCACAGTCACTGGACAAGCAGCCAGATATGTCTGCTTTATGCACTCTTCAGATGCATCTTTATACATAATCATATATTTATGTGTAACAGCAAGTATGACAGCTATTTCTGCTTAGGCCATGTGCTGGTGAAAGGGACAGCATATCCACCTCAGCAGACAGCTCTCATCTTCCTGCACTAGGTGGGAAAGGTCGCATCCTTCTCCCATCCCAGGCAGCCATCAAGTGAACCGCTCTGCCGGCATCACCTCCAGAGCCACAGCCGCAGCTGCACAGTGGCACAGGAGCTAGATGGGGTTGGATACAAGCTTGGCTACTCGTTATTTGACATGGCTTTCAATCCATGTTCCCCAGCAGCAACCCATGCATGCTGGTGTTTGACCAGCTCAGGTGGCCCTGCCAACATTTCCCAGAAGTCAAACGCACTAACAGCCTGCGTGGAGCTGGAGAGGTGGAGCAGCAGCCAAGGTACCATGTAACCTCACTGCACATTCACCTCTACCTCCTTCCTGTCCTTTGGCAAGGTTTATTTAATACTTTATCCTTTTTTTCAAACTCTATTGGATTTCATGTACCATCATCAGTGACATATTCCATATTATTAATAATGATACAGAAATTAAATCAATAGGCTTTTCCTAACAAATGGAAAGGCCCCATCATGAGTCAAGGACATCACCTGATTATTGTGCTACTTTGTGAAAGAAGGAAGGGTTACCAAATACGAGGAGTAAAACTGAGAAAAAAGGTCAGATTTCCAAAGGATCCTCATTCTTGTGTGAGACTTCAGAGCTGGGAAGGAAAGCAGGAAGCTGTTGTGCAGCACCTCTGTGCACCCACCACAAACCTCTCTCCCCCGCACACACCCTGCTCCTGCCCCGTTTCTGGAAGACAATGGAAACAGCAGCAAGGTCTGCAGTCCCACAGCCCAGGAAAGCTGAAACCAGGGTGGCCAGCACCAATCCTACTGCAGATGCTTAAGGTTGCTGAACCACGCTGAGACCCACAAGTGGTCCCCAGGCTCTAGCAGCCTGAAGATGTCAGGCACCACAGTAAAAACCTTCCAAGCTCTCAGCAGGGCCTATCCTTTGTCTTTTGCTTTTCATAAAGCCTTGTTTTAATGCAGAAAACAGCTAATTACTGGCTTTTATTTATTCACCAGAGAAGCCAAGTTCCTTTCTCACACAAGCATGCCTTCCAACAGCTCCAGGTCCTGCCTTTTCCCAGGAGCATCAAGGGAAATGGGAAGAGGCAGAGGAGGGATGGGTACAGCGAGCAGCGTGTACACTCATGCCTACTGTACACTCAGTGCCTATTGTACAGATCTTGCCAGACCACAAGGGGCAAGATTTTGTCAGGTCTCAGCTAATGCTACCCCTGGAAGTGTTGCTAAATGATGGGCTTCAGAAGCTGGAATTGCAAATTTATATGATAAAGAACTGAAATCCACATGAAAACACTCCCAGAACCACCTCCCTGACTCTTAACATCTCTGCCATGACAGGATGAGTGCTGGGACAGGGGGGGACCCTTGCTCATGGCTGTAGCTGAGATCGCTTGGTGGGCCTTTGCAGCATCCCACAAGGTTTCCTCACTGCCTCACAGGACCTGCCAGAGTCTGGGCCACCTAATTGCCTGCCCCAGGCTTGTGCTTCATGCTGGGCACTTCTGCTGCCTTTACAAGCAGCTTTCACCAGTGAATGCAACATAGAGGACAGCAGATGCTGGCTTCTCCATGCCCAGTGCCCCTATAGCACAGCAGCCGTGGGGCAAGGTGGGTCCCTCCCTGTCGCTGGGCATGGCATGGCCAGCGGTTCGGCCCCTCCTGCTGGCATCCCTCTGAGTTGCTTACCACCACGTTCATATCAGCACTCAAAAGCGTAACATTCTTATGGTGAATATCTGACAACATAACCCATTCTCCTCTTATGACTTTTAGCTTATGTCAACAATTTATTCATTTCCAGAAGACAAATAATTTTCTAACTTAAAAAATATACATTTTCCACTGCCTTCAAGACCTGTGTGTACCAATGGATGGATGCTGAGCCCTGGACTCACATACGGCAAACTAATTGTGTTTCTTCTCAGCTCTTGTGCTTGGCACATTGCCAGGGTGATGCAAAGCAATGAGAAATAAATGGACTCAAAACATAGCTGGAGAGCATCAGCAAACAGAGGGTTGGAAACTCAGCTTGATTTATTGTATAGAGAGTCAAAGGACAAGAAATACAGTGTTATTCCCAACTGTGGTCCTGGCAAACAGTCCTCAAAGCCCATGCGAGAGCAGAGCTGCTGGTGAGGCTGGGCAGCCATAGCCCCAGTGGCCGTCTGTCAGGGGAGTGTTGCTGGGAAAGGACAACATGACACTAATTCATTTTCTGAAAACATTCACCGTAACACTTCCACCTCCTGCCCAGAGAATACAGAATGTTTTACACAGACTGATAAAATAAAAGCCACTATTTGACATGTAGACACTTAATACCCTCCTACAGATCTGTCAATTACTGTAGGATTTTCCCAGCATTACAAAGCAAGCCTTTGGCAAAGGCGGAAGCTGAAGCTGGCCCAGTTGACTGCTGGAGCAATGCCAGGATTGCCCCAACACAGGGGCACCAGCTCCCAGAGGCTGGGGATGCTGCTGAGAGGTGCCAGCCCTGCCAAGGATACCCGGGCACAGCAGGAGTGAGGCGGGAGAGCAACCAAGGGGTCAAGCCAGCTGAGGTAGCAAACACATCCTTGACCTGTACCCAAACACCTCCTCCCACTGTGGGGAGGGCCCGGGAGGGCGGCTGAGCGCCAGAGCCCAGCGTGGCAGCTGCTGCCCCTCTCCAGCCCCTGCTCATGCCTGGACAGCCACCCTGCTGCTGCAGGCTTAGGGACCCCAAAAGTGCTCCTCTTCTTTCCTCCTGGTGAACAGATCGCTTTTGCCGTTACTTTTCAGGAGGAGGCATTGGTGTTCAGGGAGTCTTCTCTTATGCTGGCATTTTCCCAAGGGCCAAAATTCACCTCCCCACCACAACGTGTTGCTGCTGCTGCTTTGCTGTCCCCCATGCTGCTCAACACCCTGCGGGGAAGCCTCCCCCTGCCCTGCCTGTACACGCAGGGGCAGGGACAGAGCCTTTGGTGGCAAGGGCTAAGGGTCCTGGGGGTCCCTGTGAGGAGCCTCTGGTGCCCTCCTCTGCTGCTCTGTCTGCCCAGGCTGACATGCAGAATTTTTTACCTAACAAACGAAAACCTCCATTTCTTGGCCAGCACGTAGAATTTCACGACTAATCACCGGTGTAGCAAAATAAACCCCACCCATGTGCCTACATTCATGCCCATTCCCCCAAAAGGAGTCTCTAGTCCTCCTAGGGGCTCTCAGCCGCTGCAGGGCACGGGGAGCCCTGTCCGTGGCGGGCAGCCGC